GTGTGACAAATATAATACTATTTTCATTTTGTTCATATACTTGCAAAATACATTTGTTAATTGGTAAAAAATTGTTGGATCCATAATCAATAAATTTTTTAATATAAATAATCCACATTTTTTACAAATCAAAAAATATGTTTTATTTTCACATCAATAATGTGTGAACAAATTTGTTTTTTATATTGAGTAATGATATAAAAATAAAAAATTAATACAAAATTTTTATACATAATGATATAACTCAATATAAAACATTCCACAAAAAACAAAACACTCACAAAAACCCTCTTTTTTAAAATATAAAAAGAAAAAGGGGAAAAAAAAAAAAAAAAAAACCCTTATGCAATTTTGCTCAAACTCTCAACAAATTTTCTCACAGAAAATGCAACTCAATGAAGTACAATACAATATTTGAGAGTAGTTTAATATCATAGATTTTTCTTTTATTTTTACTTCCTCACTTCTTGTGTTTCTCCAACTAAAATACTTCTTATATATCATAAAATTATATCCGTTGGCTCATATCTATTAGAGGAGACACATGTGGAGCATGGGCAACAATCATTTTCAAATATGGTAAGCGGGGATTGAAAATATAGACAACAGTCGCTTTCAATAAATAGTAATTCAATTTTTTCAACCATTTCTCATGAAAAAACGAGTGCATTGCATAGTAATTTTTCTAGTAAAATATTTGAATGCACAGTGACTTTTGTATTAAAATACTTGTATGCATAGTAAAATCTCTTTAAATAACATTTATATATACCCTTTTTAAAATCTTTGTAATTATTGTAAAGATTTTAGATACACTCTAATAAAAATAACCAACCATCCCGTGTGAGTATATCAAATTTTGTCAAAAGAAAACAACTCACCAATATTACATTTGTTCAAAAAATACAACTAATCAATATCAAATTTGTCAAAAGATGAATAGTGACCAATCGTATTTTCTAAAACATAAATAGTAAATTTTATAATTTTTTTTTGTAAAATCATATCTTACACAGTAATTGTGATTTATATAATATTTATAACAAATACATCAAATAACATATATTTTAAACAAATAACATTTTGTGTCAAAGAATATAAAATATGTATATTAAAAAATCACAATTTATACAATAATATTTTAGACATCATCAAAATGAAATCACATGATTAACAATAATATACATCTTTAAAAGAGGTATACCACATGCATTCCTAGTTATATCATTTTTTTCTTTGGTTAAGACTAGTTTTCTTATTTAGTTATGATATTATTTTAGTTATGGAAAAATTACTCATAAATCCCATATTGAAAAATGTTACTCCATCTAGTCCTAAATGTTTTCTTATAAACCATTTAGTCATTGTTTTACATCACAACATCATCATCAAAATAAACATCAAACATCATCATCAAAACAACATCAAACATCACAACATCTCAATCAATGGGTTTTCATCTCTTCGCTTTCTGAGTTCTAGGGTTTTGTGACATCCCTTAGAAATTTCTTGATCCAATGGAGGAAGACAACAGCGCGAGGATGAAGGGGGTACTGAAGTGGTTCAGTGACCAAAAGGGTTTCGGTTTCATCACCCCCGACGACGGCGGCGAAGATCTCTTTGTCCACCAGTCCTCCATCAAATCCGACGGCTTTCGTATCCTCGGCGACGGCGCGGCCGTCGAGTTCGTCATCGATTCAGGCGACGACAGCCGCACCAAAGCCGTCGACGTCACCGGCCCCAACCGCGCTCCCGTTCAGGGCACTACCCGCGAGGAGGCGGAGGAATCTAACTCTCTCATAAAAACCTTACCCTACAATGTCAGCATCTTCTCAATCAATTCCCTCTTAATCCCGTACGGGTTTGATCTGATGGCCTCTGAGACTCATCCCCCGTTGGGTCTTAACATCACCAAAGCCCTAATCTGATGATGATGTTTGATCAAAAAAAAAATGTTTAATCGTTATTTTGATGTTTGATGTTATTTTAATCGTTATTTTGATGTTTAATCGTTACTAAAAAAATTGTTTAATTGTTATTTTGATGTTGTTTTGATGATGTTGTTTTGGTAATGATGTTTGATGTTGTTTTGATGATGATGTTTGATGTTGTTTGATGATTGTGATGTTTGATGTTTGTTTTGATGATGATGATGATGATGTTGTTTTGATGATGATGATGTTTGATGTTCACAATACCACTAAGGGAAAACAAACATCTACAGAGTAAAGGTTTTGGGCATTTCAGTCAATACCACGTTGGGATTTTCCTCATTTACCCTTACTAAAAAGCACAAAATATAGTGTAACACTGGTTATTTTGTCATTAACATTAACTTGGGACTAATTAGATCACAAGATAAAATGTAGGACCAAATGGGTCATAAGATAAAGATTTGGGATTTATTGGTGCATGGCCCTTTAGTTGTCACACGTGAAATAGTTATACTTCATATTGTGTTTGATTATGATATATATTTTTTAAAGTTATGACTAAAAAAGTATGAAATTATATCATTTTATTTTTAATTATAAGGTGCATATGGTATTTTCTAAAAAAAAATTGTCATTTTGTGATTTGTCTTAATGATTTTTTCTGATGTAATTATAAAATGACACTCTTTTGAATTTTAAATTGTATTTTGAAATTTTTTGAATTTAGTTTTTTATTAGAAATTTAAAAATGTTTAAGAAAATTTTATTTTTTTATTTTAAATATATAATTTTTATTTTAAATACTTTTTATTTTTTTAATTTTAAATATTTTATTTTATTTCTTAAATATTTTTTAAAATATTTTAAACTCAAAATATAACTCCACACTCAAATCATAACTAAACACATAATATAAAATTTAATTCAAAACTCTTTTCAAAACTTATAACCAAACACATAATTCAAAACTTAATTCAAAAACTCTTTTTAAAATTCTATTAAGAAAATTGTTTAAAATTATTTTTTATTTAATATTTTTTTGAAAAAAAAATTCAAAATATTTTTTGATTTTAAAAAAAATATTTTTTGTTATTTTTTTAAATATTGGCCAAATAATTTTGTTATGATTTAGATATATATATGGTGATCCAAAAAATTTTGAAATTTTTTTTAAAATAAATATTTACAAAACAGTAAATATAGTTAAAAATATGTTTATAAAATAAAATATTTAAAATAAAACATAAAAACTATATATTTAAAATAAAAAATTAAAAATATTTAAAAAAATACAACTCAAATATTTTAAAAAATACAGCGCGCAATTTTATGAAATACAGTGCAAATTAAAAAAATACAACTCAAAACTAAATAAATTTTCTCTTTTTAAAACTCAACTCATAACTCATAACTCAAAACACAACTCTACACTCAAATTATAATTCTAAAAATAATTTTAAGAAACAAAATAAAAAAAATATTATTTTGAATTTTTTTTTTTTTAAAAAGAGTTTTGAAAAAAGTTTAATTATGGGTTTTGAAAATATTTTTTGGTTTGAGTTTTGAATTGTGTATTTGGTTATGAGTTTTGAAATTTTTTTATTAGAACTACATGTACAATTGTACAATTTCAAAACTCAACCAAACAGGACCTTACATTTTGCTAAAAAGCAAGTACACGAATGCAAATGCACATACAAAAAGAAAAAAAATGTTCTATTTCATTATCAATAATGATGAGAAAATCACATCGATATATCTATATTTCAAATTTAAATATAGCGGGTTGATTTTGAATTTGAATGATCTGGTACACCTCTTTCATTCTAATTTCTATCCATATAATGAAGAGGATTTAAATCTTAAAATGAACTACAATAGAAAAAAATGTCCAAATTTTAAATAAATGATATAGATCTAATTTAGTATCATGTGAGAAATATCTAAAAACCAATTGATTTACAAATTAAAATTTTTAAGGCCCTTCTATATGTATATATATATATACTAGTAGAAAATGCCCGTGCAAGACACGGGCTATTATTGTGTTGATTGAGTAAAAAATTGATTAAAAAATACATTATAAATAAAATTAATATTCATCATTAAAAAAATAATTATTCCATAGAAAGACTAAGGAATAACCATTCTATTTGATGTCATTCTAGTAAATCAAACATAATTTTGAATTGTGTCATAGGGCAAGAATTTGTATGGATGAGATAAAGAATTAGATGAAATAAATAAGTGGATATATACTATTGTATTATATTTAGTTAGGATGGGATAATTAGATAACATGACTAGACATTATTATATTATGTTTGGTTGGAATAATTTAAAATATCTAATTATTTTTTATTATTAAATGATGATATCAAGTGTTAATAATAATATGATATTACCATTACCCAATTTTTTTTTTTTACTTAATGTAACTTCTACATAATATTTATTAAATTTTTTTTTTTGAACCTTTCATCCTCCATATGTCAAATTTAATATGGGTAGGACAATACTATCAAGAAAAATTATGTAGTGTTCTTGGGACAATTTCACATGTTGCTTCAATGTGAAATTTATTTATTAAAATTGTGAGATCCAATACTTTTTATTAGAATTTTGAAGGACGAGTTGATAAGTGTCATGTAATAAGTGATGTAAAGTTGTGAGATTCAATACTTTCTATTAGAATTTTGAAAATAAGTTGACAAGTGATAAATGATGTGAAACAATATTCCAACACTACCAAATAATCATTCACTCCACTACTAAATGTTACTTTGGCAAATGAAAACTTGATTAAAGTGTTTACAGATATAATATATTGTTAAATGACATTTTGCTTGAATATGCTCTTAGGCCTCTGCAAATTACTTTTTTCCTAAACAAAACCACAGTGTAACAGTAATATTAAGTTATTGACACGTGTCAGCATGCAATAATAGAACATTACATGATGGTGACTATGTAAATCTAATTATATTATTTAATTCAATCCACTAACACATTTGCATAGTGAGGTGAGGTATATCCATGTAGTAGCCACATGAACGTGAACAGTGGAAGGAAGAACAAGTAAATTCCATTAAAGGACTTGCAAAAACAAAGGAAGCCCTGAAAACGGAGGGTAATTCTTACAGAAATAGGACAAAAAAGAAGCCACCCATGCATGAACAATAAACTCAAAGCAAATTTAGATATATTGATACATTGCATTGTTGGTACCATACTAGCTAAAGCGCAAATGGTAATTTGATTGAACAAAATACCAGTTAGTACTACCAAAAAAGCAATTAGCAAAATACTGAATTTTACTATTTACACCCGGGCATTAGGGCATTATTTATAGTGACGCGGGTAAGTCCATAAAAGCTATAGCCCACTATGAACAACCCAAGTCCATCACTTGGAGCCCAATACATAACCCAGCTGGTGAAGTCCAGAACAACTGGAATTCAACGTGGCATAAAGAGCCAATGACATTCAGACATACGGCAGGTAAAGGACAAGGCACATCAGCAGACAAAGATCTGCAAAGTTATTGCCACTGTACATTACCATTAATGCAGCCCATCACAGCATTTATTACGATAACACCTCCCCGTCGGAACAGCACCCCCATACCCTGAACAAGGTAAGGTACAGCATAAACTTTCGGCCAAGATGGCAGGTCGGAAGGGACAGCGAAATGATAACCAAAGGATATAAACAAACGTTGAAGACAAGAAGAAAGTTAAGTTTTTCTATCTTCAACTCATATCTCTACATTACACTTCTCTCTCTCTCTAACTTGCTTGTCGGAGGGTTCGCTGGGGGACTCTCCGTTCCCCTGTTGAACTTGTGTGCAGGTTCTCTGGTGGGTTTCAACACCCAGTTACCGATTGAAGAAGCGTGGATTAGTCCGACAAATTCCATCTGGGACCCGTTGTGTAGTAACTGTATCATCATATAGTATTAACTCACAAAACATGTTAATCTAAAAAAAACTCACAAAACACCATCAAGAGTGACATTAATAGACAGGAATTTAGCCAATGCTCATAGGATACGACGTGAAAATGGCTCATAAGTAAAAATGAAAGGATTTGAAGTTAATTATGTTTGTGCTTGAGGGGGGTAAAAAATGGTAAATTTTTTTGAAACATATTATAGCTGCAAATCAATTTTATGTTTGAAAAGGAATCATTTTTTATTTTTTTGGCAAAGGTTTTGAATAACTTCTCCAAACCAATTTTATGTTTGAAACGGAACCATTTTTTATTTTTTTGGCAAAGGCAAACCAATTTTATGTTTGAAACCGAATCATTTTTTATTTTGTTGGCAAAGGTTTTGAATAACTGGTAACTCCAAAAGCTTAGAAGAATCTCTCACTTTTAGCTTCTTAATATATATATTTTTAATTATTATTCTTTTGGGAAGGTGTAGGTACAATTTGTCTTAGTTCTTATTTTATGTTAGGACCAAAACAAACAAGAAAGCTTCCAACCAAGCTTAAAAGATTACAAGTGTGGGTGGTGTTGGTAATTTTCTACAAGAAAAAGTTTAACAAGCTTCTTTTTTTTCTTTTTTCTTTTTTCATTCGCATTTTTAAATTGATTTCAGGTCTATTATGAATATAAAAATTAAATATATAAATAACAAAATATATAAATATATATATATATAACAAACATGAGATAAGATTTTATAAATTTATTGATGTAGTCTATTTCTAAAATAATCTTTTTTGTTCATTAATATTCCATATGAGATTTTTATCGGCATATTCCATTGATTTTATCAAAAGACAGGCCAACTTATTTACAGTATTTGACTTATTTCTTCTTCGTGAACATGTTCCAAATTTCGTAAAACCTTTTTTTTTCCAAAATTTTTGTTATTAATGCTAGAAAAAAAAAAGTTAAATAACTATTAAAAAAAAAAAGACAAAAATTTCCTTTATTCTTTACTTTTTACACATTTTTTCGTAAAAATTTAAAAAATATTCCAAA